AATGAATTAAATGAATTAAATGAAGCATTTGGGGAAATTAAATGAATTAAATGAATTAAAAGGATCCATTAAATGGATCAAATGGACTAAAATGCAGCATTTGAGGGAATTAGATGGAATAAATGAATTCAAATGAACTATAAATGGACTAAATGGATCAAAATGATTCATTAAATGAATTAAATGGATTAAATGATCCATTAAATGGATTAAATGAATCAAAATGATCACCGAATGGATTAAATGGATTAAAAGGGTCCTCTAAGTGGATTAAATGGACTAAAATAGTCCATCAAAAGACTTAAATGATGCAAATACTCAATTAAATGATTTAAAAGGATTAAAATTGTCCATTAAATAAATTGAAAGAACTGAATTGGGAAAAACGCAGGAGGCGCGCGGGGGTGGGGTGTACATACACCGGAAAGTCACCTGTGTCGAGGCGCAGCACTTGGCACTTTTCGGCGAATTGGTGCATTGTAGTTTTATTTTTTTGATGATTAGTTTTATATTTTTGAATTAATTCATTATAAATGTCCACGAAGTCCAAAAAGTCCCGAATTTGCTGCTTCTGCGGCAGCGCGAGCAGCGGCAGCGCGTAGCGGGTGCTGCGGTGTACGTACACCTGGCAGCTGGCTGCTTCCCGGTACTGCAGCAGCAGCGACATCAGCAGCACCTGGGCGAGCGGCCACAGCGCCGCTTTTGCTGCTGCTGCTTCCCCGCTGCAGCGTGCTGCAGCAAACTGTGCTGCTCTTTCCCCCAGCAGCAACTCTCCATCAAAACTTAACCCCAAAGCTGTCCCCAGCAAATTCCCGGGGCCCGCGAGAGGGGCCTCGGGCTTGTCCCGCCGCCGCTGGCCCAGCAGCCGGCCCGCCACACGAGCTGCAGCAGCAGCAGCAGCAGCAGCAGCAGCAGCAGCAGCAGCAGCGGCGGAAGCAAGTAGAATTGGCTGGCAGTTTGAGGTCGGGGAATAGTGCAAGAGTGTTAGGACGGAAATAAATGAAAAGATAAATAAATGCAAAGATAAATAAATGAAAAGATAAATAAATAAAAGGATAAATAAAAGAAAACAGAAATAAATGGAAGCAGAAATAAAAGAATAAACAGAAATAAATGGAAAAGCAGGAGAAGAGGAAATGACGGAAGCCGCAGCAAACGAGCTGCTGCAGCAGCAGCAAAGGAGCTGCTGCAGCAGCAGCAAAGGAGCTGCTGCAGCAGCAGCAAAGGAGCTGCTGCAGCAGCAGCAAACGAGCTGCTGCAGCAGCAGCAAAGGAGCTGCTGCAGCAGCAGGAAAGAGCTGTTAGTTGGGTTTTTCTCACCAGCATCAATGCAAAGTCTGGCAGCTTTAAGGACACTTTTATTTGTTTCTTTATTTCCCTTTATGGCTTTTGTGTCCAGCGCAGTTTGCAGCTGCAGCGCCACCCAATCTGCTGCTGTGGGGGCCCCCTCCACCACTTGGGGGGCCCCCCAGCTGCGGCTGAGGGCCCCCTGCAGCAGTTCAAACACTGAGGCATTCAGGGCCCACGCCAGACACGCGGCCCCCACAGAAACCAGCCTGCTGCTGCTGCTGCTGCTGCTGCTGCTGCTGCTGCTGCTGCTGCTGCTGCTGTCGCTGCTGCTGCTGCTGCTGTTTAGAAAAGATATGAGGTGAGCCACAGTTTGCTCCCGCACGGCCTTGGAAGGGACTTCCAAGTTTAAAGGAAATTCTTCGCAGTCTGCGAAAATGGAAATTCGAATTTAATTATTTTTCTATTTTTATAATTGAATTCATTTTCTGCAATTAATTCCAAATTAATTCCAATTTAATTCCAAATTAATTCCAAATTAATTCCAAATAATTCATTTGCAATCAACTAATCCCCACTCACGCTCGGGGCTCGGCCGCGGGGGCCCCTCGGGGGGCCCCTGGGGGGCCCCCCGGGGGCCCCCCTCGCGTGGGGCGGGGGGTACTGGGGTTTTGGGGGAGGGGGGAAGGGGCTCTGCAAAAAGAAAAAACAAATGTTTTATTTAATTCAATTCACTGATCGCTAGCTAGCTAGCTAGCTAGCTAGCTAGCTGATAATCTTGCTGTTTTATTGATTGGCTAGCTAGCTAGCTAGCTATTTGACAATCTTGCTGTTTATTAGATTGGCGAGCTAGCTAGCTAGCTAGCTAGCTGTAGTAGTGGCTAGCTAGCTGGTAGAGACCGTCGGCGCGCCGGCTTGTGTAGCTGAGTTGGTAGCTATCTGGCTAGCTAGCTAGCTAGCTAGCTAGCTAGCTGCTGAGACTAGCTGGTTGACTAGGTAGCTAGCTAGCCACGCGGCCTCGCAAGCAAACTAGCTAGCTGGCTAGCTAGCTATCTCTTTAGCGAGTTAGCTAGCTAGCCGTACAAACTGGCCAGAAAGCTAGCTAGCTAGCTAGCTAGCTAGCTGCTCATGTTTTTTGTTTACCTGCTTCCGCCTTTTCTGGCTCTGGCGGAATGAAGGTTTTTTTCTTTTCTTCTTCTTCTGCAGCAGCAAAAAAGAAAAAAAAATGCATTTCTCGAGTTTGTTGCTTTTTGGATTTTTGCACTTTTGGAAACATTAATTTCGTCGAAGTTTTTATTTTAATTTTATTTTAATTTTATTTTAATTTCGCATTTCGAAAGCCGCATTTGTTTGCGCTGTTCAAGTGTATGTACACTGCAGGGAAACAAAGAAGAATTCAGATTTAATTAAATGCCAATTTGGTTTTTTAATTTTCAATTAATCTTTTCTGTTGTTTGTTGAAGTTCAAAATGACAAAAAGATGAAACATTTTCTTTAAATTTAATTCTTAAGGAGACAAAAATAGAACAAAAGAAGAAAAGATAATTCTTTTTAATTTATTTTATTTTTATTTTATTTTAAATCAAAAAAGAATTCAAAAATTTTAATTCATTTTCGTTTTTGCACCTTCAGGCTTTTTTTCTTTTGGGACTATGGGCGGCACAGCCGGAAGGGCCTCTGCAGCAAAAGTCCAAATTGGCAGAAACATAAATAAATAAATAAATAAATAAATAAATAATAAATAAATAAATAAAAATAAATTAAAAAATAAATAAATAAATAAATAAATAAGTAAATAAATAAATGATTTAAAAGAAGTAAATAAGGCAAAATTTCGGTGGAGAAAGAATGAATTCGCTTTTGAGTCGACAGAGCCCAAGAGATAAAAGCAGAATTAGAAGTTTATATTTTGCATTTTATAAATTAAATATCTTTTTAAAATTTAATTTTAAATATTTAAACTTAATATTTTTTAAATTTAATTTCCTTTTCGCTTTTCGTTCATGAGAAGGACTGGTGTACGTACACCCGAATGCGCATGCAAGGCGCGCTGAGGTGTACGTACACCAGAGAAAATTGGAAATTATAAATCCAAATTTGAACACAAAGGAAAGAATTTATATATTTAATTAATATGAATTAAAAGAATTAATTTATATTTCTATTTTTTATCTTTTGGTGAATGCAAATCTGTCAAAAGATGAAAAAATATCAAAAACTTCCCCACTATTGCATTTAATTCCATTTAAATTGTTTTCTTTTTTTGCCAAAGACAAAAAGACACTTGTGAAAAGAATTAACATTTAATTAACTCAAAATTAAAAACTGAAAATACCTTTTGGCGCAGGAGGGGCTTCAGCTGCAAATCCAGAAAAGAAAAAAACAGAAAACAAAAAAGTTCACATGCATGCAGCGAGAGCTTCGCATAACTGCCGTGCTGCTGCTACTGCTGCTGCTGCTGCTGCGCAGCTGCTGCTGCTTCCGCTGCTGCTGCTGCTACTGCTACTGCTACTGCTACTGCCGCTGCTGCTGCTGCTGCTGCTGCTGCTACTGCTGCTGCTGCTGCTGCTGCTGCACTTGCCTGTGACGGTGAATGGCACAACGGTATCTGTCTTTGCACTTTCGATTATTTTGTTTAAGTCCGCGAGAACATTAATTTCTCTCAAGTTCCATTTGTTGACACTTCGAGCTTCCTGGAGTTCGGACTTGCCGGAGGCTTCGAGCAGCTTGTTTTGAATTGCTGCTTGCTGCTGCAGCAGCTGCTGCCGCACCAAGTCCAAAGACCACTGGTCCACTGGTCCACTCAAGTGGACCACCAGTGGACCACTGGTGGGTTCGAAGTGGAGCACTGCGCGGCCGCCGGAGGGCAGCGCGAGCAGCGCCTCGGCGAGTCCGAGTTGAACTGAAAAAGTGGAAAGCAAGGGAAAGCAGAACTAAAACGCCTTTTGGCAATTTAATACTTCTAAATTCAATTATTTTATTTATTTTCCTTCATTTTGACCCCTTATGGGCCCATTTGCAGCTAATTTTGATCAGCTTTCCACTTTTTCAAATTTGCAAAAGTTGAATTGCCCCCACCTCGCGACGGCGGCGGCTGCTCTTCTGCGGGCTTCGCCGGAAGAGTTGGAACGGCAACAGCAGCAGGAGTTTCTTTTTTTTGTTCTAATTTAAAAAGAAAAAGAAAAAAGAAAAAAGAAAAAAAGAAAAAAAAAGAAATTCAGAAAATGCAATCCCAAAGTTGCAAAGGGATGCAGCCAGCTCCCCTGTCCAGCTCCTTGCGCAGCTCTGGCGCTGTGCCCTCTTTCAGGGCTTAGGGTTTAGGGTTTAGGGTTTAGGGTTTAGGGTTTAGGGTTTGAGGCAGCAGCGCACCTTTCTGGGGAGGCGCTTCAGCTGAAGAGGTTGCAGCAGCAGCAAAAAGAAGCAAAAGAAGCAAATAAATGCATTTTAAATAAATTTCTGATAATTTGCAAATTAAATGCGCAGCAAAATAGAAGTGGCAGCAGCAACTTGCTGTTTCGCCGGGCTTCCCTTCAAGGGTTTAGAGTTTAGGGTTTAGGGTTTAGGGTTTAGGGTTTGCCTGTGACGGAGATGGGAACAGCTTGTTTGTCTTTGGCGCTTTGGACAATTTGCTGCAGAGTGGCCTCGACATTAAGATCTTTAAGAGTCCATTTGTTGACATTTCTGGCTTCTTGAAGTTCAGCTTTTTGCGCATTTTCCAAAACCCTTTCTTGAATTTGCTGCTGCTGCTGCTGCTGCAGCAAAGCCCCCCGCACGTCCTCCAGGCTGCAGTGGTCCACTGGTCTCGGCAAGTGGACCACTAGGGGGTTTTTGCTGGGCTGCAGGTGCAGCGAGGCTCTTTGGCCCGAAGGCAGCAGCAGCAGCACTTCTTGAAGTCCGAAAGAAACTGCAGCAAAGTGCGCAAAAGCAGGTCCATTGGTGCTGCAGTTTCGACAGATTTGTCCAATTTAAAAAGAAAGAAACATTCAAATTCAAAAAAGATCCAAAATGCTCTTTTCAACTTCTAAAAACTCCCATTTTCACCTTCAGAAGGAGCTGCTGCTGCTGCTGCTGCTGCTGCTGCTGCTGGTGCTGCTGCAGGCGGAGGGCTGGGCGCGGGCGGCGGCGCCTCTTCTGCAAAACGCGCAGACGCAGCTGCTAGGGTTTAGGGTTTAGGGTTTAGGGTTAAGGGTTAAGGGTTTAGGGTTTAGGGTTTAGGGTTTAGTGCGGGGATGGGGCTGCAGACCTTTGGGCGTGGGCGGCTCGGGAGCTGCAGAAAAGCAGCAGCAAAATGAAACGAAGACAATTCAGAAAAAAGCAAATGAAATGATTTAAATTCTTTTTTTGTTTTATTTGCATCAAAAATGATCTTTAAATGAGAAATAAATAATTAAAAACTTATTTTAATTCATTTATTTCAAAAAAGATTTTTCAGATTTTCAAATTTCGAAATTTCCCAAAAACTCACGCCGGGGTTTCGCAGCAGACGGCGGCTCGAAGACCTCTGGAGGGCCACAAAAGCAGAAAAGCAAAATAAATAAATAAATAAATAAATAAATAAATAAATAAATAAATAAATGAATGAATAAATAAATAAATAAATAAATAAATAATAAATGAATAAATAATTGAATAAATGATGGAAATAATAAATAAATGAGCGAAGAAAAACGCGAAAATTCGAATAAAAGCAGCAGCAAAAGCGCCGCTCTGAGGATTTAATTGTGGCTTTAATGTTTTCAATTTGAAATAAAAAGGAATTTTAAATGAAAAAATAAAAGATAAGGATTTAATTGTGGCTTTAATGTTTTCAATTTGAAATAAAAAGGCATTTAAAAGAAGAAATAAAAGAAAAGGACTAAACTGTGGCCTTTAAAGTTTTCAATTTGAAATAAAAAGGCATTTAAAAGAAGAAATAAAAGAAAAGGATTTAATTGTGGCTTTAATGTTTTCAATTTGAAATAAAAAAGCATTTAAAAGAAAAAATAAAGGAAAAGGATTGAATTGTGGCCTTTAAAGTTTTCAATTTGAAATAAAAGGCATTTAAAAGGAGAAACAAAAGAAAGAAAGGCTTTTGTGTTTGCTTTTTTTTGCAAGTGCTGAGGTGTACAGACACCGCGCACTCTTGGATAACTCCTCCTGCACGTCCAGCCCCAAAGCTTCCCACTTTTGAATTTGTTCTTTGGACCATTTGACATCAGAAGCTTGTCTGCTGAGGCAGCAGAGAAAAGCCACGAGGTCCAGCAGCTTTTCCTTGAAAGCAGCAGGAGCAGCAGCAGCACGCAGCCCCTGCTGCAGCAGCTGCTGCTGGTGCTGCTGCAGCTCCACTGCAGCAGGCGCGTACGCAGCCAGCCGCTGCAGAATGCGGGCCCGCGGCCCGTAGAAGCCGAACGGCCGCGCCTCGATCTCTGCAGCAAACTTGCTGTAGCGCTCTTCGGGGTTTTCTGTCCGCGAAAAGGCGAAGCAGGCGGGGCTTTTTGTGTCTCCAGTGGCCTGCAAATGCATGCAGCGAAGTGGAAAGCATTATTAGCTTCAAAAGGGGAAAAAACGGGGGCGAAAGACCCCAAATTGCTGCTGCTGCGCTGCTGCTGCTGCTGCTGCTGCTGCTGCTGCTGCTGCTGCGCTGCTGCTGCTGCTGCTGCTGCTCGGCTTACTGCTATGTTTAGGAAATCGCGCCGGCAAACGTCGTATTTGTAAAAAGAATGCAGCAAACCGCGGGTGTCTGCATGCACGGCGAGGGCGCTGAGGCCGGCTACGGCGAGCCAGCAGCAGGCGGCTCTCATTGCGGGGCGATCAGGGCGCAAAACGGGGGAAAAAAGGACCAAAAGAACCCAATTTTGTCATTTATTTACTTTTATTTCTTTTAATTCAAAAAAAGAAACTGAGAAACGCATTTGTGGCGCTGACGCGACACCCCGGCGCCCGCCGCAGCCTCGCATTCCAGACAGCGCTCGAGCCGCAGCAGCAGCAGGTGACTCGGCGGGAACTGCCGCTGAAACTCAGCTTTTTTCCGCTCTTTTTGTTTTAAAAAAGAATTAAAATGATTTAATTTGAATTTTATTTCCCTTTTAATGTTCAAATTCGACAAATACAACCGGAAAGCTGGAGGCGCAGCGCAGTTGAACTGGTCCAGCCGCGAGTCGGCAGCGCCGCTCTGGCACTGACCGCCCGCCGATTGCAAATTCCGTTTCTTGAAACTCCACTTTTGAATTGTTTTCTTCATTTGTTTATTCAAAACAATTTATTTAAATAAATTAAAACAATTAAATAATAATTCAAATTGAAGCTGAGGCGCAAAGAAGTGCTCGACGCGCCCGCAATCGGCCGAGATACTGAACCGGGACCCAATCAAAAAATACCGGGCTTTCTTTCGCATTTCCACTTTAAATAATATTTAATTTAATTTAATTTAATTTAAAATAATAAATCAATTCAAATTTTTATTTGATTTCGCTCAGTTTGGCTCCGAAGTCGCCCGTTTGCCCATTCTTGAATTCAGCTTGCGGTGTGCAGCTTTCCGCAACAAAGATCTTCAGATCTTGCTGGAAATATAATCAAATTTGCAGATTTGATTTGCTTTTTAAATCCAGATTTGATTTAATTTGCAAATTAAATTTTATTTCTTTTATTTGCTGCTTTAAATTCGAGTTTGTTGTAAAAGAAAAAACTGCAAATTTCCAATTTCTTGCAGTTTTCATCCGCAGTGCAGTCACTTGAGTTGCAAAGAAACACAAGTCTATTTGCGGAACTTCCCATTCAAAAGTGAATATTAAAAGTGAATTAAATTTAATTATTTAATTTAAAATAAATAATTTAATTTAATTCTCTTTTAGTTTTCACTTTTGAGCTTTCATGAAGGAGAATTTTTAGAAAATTGAAAAACAAATGCACATGCTGCTCCAAACAGTTCCAATTTTTTAAATTCAAAACAAAAAATTAATTAACTAATTTGATTAAATGACGCAGCTAAAACTGCAGCAGCAGCAGCAGCAGCAGCAGCAGCTCTAAAAGTGAATTAAGTGCAGCAAGCATTCTTGCAAATGAATAAATTTTAAATTTATTTATTTGAAAATAAAAAATTTGAATTTTTGCTGCAGTCTTTGCTGCAAGCCGCGGACTCTTATTATTAAACTGAGGGGAATAAAGCTTGTTAGGAAAACAAGCCAAATATGAAATTATAAAATAATTAAATTCAAAATTAAATAATTAAAATTAAAATCAAAAATAAAAATAAATCAAATTTGCTGCCGCATGCAGGTGATTGCTTTCTGCTGAGGCCCATATACTTTAAAAAGAGCAGCAGCAGCAGCAGCTAGAAGCAGCAGCAGCAGCAGCAGCAGCAGCAGCAGCTAGAAGCAGCAGCAACAGCAGAAGCAGCACCGCCTACGAGGAGAAACAGCAGTTACTAAGAACAGTAGCAGCAGCAGCAGCTGAGAACAGCAGCAGCAACTAAATACAGCAGCAGCAGCAGCAGCAGCAGCAGCTGATTGAGCTTAGCAACAAAAGCAAGTGACTTTTCTCACGGAAACATATAATGATTAATTTGCTTTTTGCTTTTTGCTTTTTGCTGCTCATTTGCCAGCAGCAAACTGGCAGCTTTAGTGCTGCACTTCACCTGCTGCTGCTCGTGAGCTGTTTGTACACCTCAGTCGCAATTGCTGAAGCTCCCGAGCAGCAAAAGGAGCAGCAGCAGCAGCAGCAGCAGCAGCAGCAGCAGCAGCAAAGAGACGGTTAAGCTCTGAAGGGGCAGCAGCGGAATCCGCTGCAGCAGCAGCAGCAGCGCGAGCAGCTGCAGCACAGGAGTGCTGCTGCCACAGCAGTACGAACTGCCGCAGCCCTGAAGTGCAGCAGCAGCAGCAGCAGCAGCAAGCGTGCAGCTGCAGCACTGGGAAGCAGCAGCAGCAGCAGCAGCAGCAGCAGCAAGCGTGCAGCTGCAGCACTGGGAAGCAGCAGCAGCAGCAGCAGCAGCAAAAGTGCTGCTGCTGCTCTATTGAATCCGCGGGCTGTGAAAGGAACCCTAAAAGGCCCACTGAGTGCACATTAAACAGGGGGGTGTAGCTACACCTGAAAAAGGCTTTTTTGTGAATTTAAATAAAATTAAAAGAAATTTAATTTATCGGCTTTTGTTGACTTCAAAAGAAATTCAGAAAAAAATAGAATTAAAAGAAATTTAATTTATTGGCTTTTGTTGACTTTAAAAGAAATTCAGAAAAATGCAATTTAAGTATTTTCTTTGCTTTCTGTCTATTTCGGTGAGGCCTGTTTCCCGCGGGGCCAATGGTGTCGAGACACTCGAGCAGAAAAGGCCTCAGAGTGTTATTTTATATTCATTTTTATTTTTTAATTTAATTTTATTTTATATCCTTCAGAAAAGTGGAAAGAAAGAGAAAATGCAAGAAGGCAAGCCGTTCCCAGCTCGGCTGCGAGATGGCGGGGCCCCCGGCGGCGCCCAGAGCTCCCGTTGCGCCAAATGGTTTTAATTGAGGAAATTAATCTTTAATTAAATTATTAAATGTTTAAAATAAATGAAATAAATCAAAAGTGAGGGAAGACTAGACTTTGCGCAGCCGAGACGGCACGAGGTGTCTGTACACCTCGCGCACTCGACGATGCATGCCAAGCGGATCTGCCGATCACTTCAATTCAAGTTGACTTCGAAGCTGCAAAAATGGAAAACAAATGAACTTTTTGACTTTTAAATGAAAACTAATTGAACT